TTGAGTGCACTCAAAAGTCGCCGACTTATAAACAAACTACAAAACTATTGATATTAATTCGTATTACTATAATTTTTAAAATATCAAATATGCACAATTCTATCAAAAGTTGTTATAATTCTTATAATAACAATTAGAATTTTATAATTTGAAAACACTTTTGAATACATAATAAACAACAGTTTATTTTAAAATATCATTAAAATCAAAAAATTTAAATTTTAAAATAAGATCACCACAATAACAAAATTGCCGTTCTTCAAAAATCAATTTCATCGTTAATTTCATTCATTAAACTTTCTGAAAAAATGATTTCATACACTTCTCCACATGGAAAAGGTCTCAGTAATGATGTGGCATCATCAACCAACTCATTTGTAGTTGAAGAATGTGGTTCAGTTGGAATAACTATTTGTTGAATTGCTCTTGAAGAATTTCCAACACCCAGAAATTCGTTTATTGAATTGTATTGTCTTAAATTGTTTTAGTTGTGAACTAGTTTTGCTCTATGATACTCTCCACTCAATTTTGACACAATTTCTCCAGCAATTCGTGGGAGTTGAATTGGGGTTGTTCCAACAGGGGTAGAATAATCTCCATCTGCCATTCTTTTGAAGAGATAAAAAGGAAACTTTCTTAATGGCTTTTTTGATATGTGGTAATTACAAAGTGAATGAGTAATATTGATCAGAGACTCATAATCTCTTTTTAGTAGCCCGTATTTGTTTTTCATCAACTTAAATAATATTATCAATCGACCAAAATGATTTTCAACAAGAATACTGACACTTGAGTGAACTGCATTGTACGCTTTAATAAGTGAATTGTCTACCTTTGTTAATAACATCATTGATTCACATTCAATTGTGCCCCGCTCACATTCAAAATGGTTCGAATCAATAATAAACTCAACATTCGAAACTTCGAGCACGCCCAAGATTTGATATGTTGAGTTTGAAACATCCTCAAAATTTGTTTCAAAAGTTGTAGTGCAACACACCCTACATTTGGCATCTCTTTCTGTCACGTCAACTTGTCTGAACAATGTGTATAGTTCTATTTCCTGCACTGTTTCCGTATCAAAGTGAACTATTTCGACAACAGAACCACTTACACCTCCTTTAAATACACCGTTTTTTAAAGTTCCTTCGAAGTTTCCTCTAATTCTCAATCTATGTTCAGAACCATTCATCATTAGACTCATATTGATCAAGTAATCTTCTGTTAATACAATCTGTTCGTTTTTTCCAGTTTTGGGATAAGGTATCAAAGTTTGTCCGACTCCTCTGTATCCACTATCTGCAAGTACCCATTCATTTTCCAAAACAAAACTGGGATCCCAATTACACTTGTAGACAGTTTAATCGTTTGTTGCGCATTGTTGAGTATTTGACACTTTAACAGCCATTCCATCACAGTTAACATAAACTTCTGTTTTGAGCCCACTACAGTGATGTTTAAATGTAAAATATCTACCATCCTTTACTTTGCGTTCATTTTCTGATGTTTTTAGTCGTGTTGAAATCATTTGGTCTCTTCCATCAAAGATGTAAAATGAATGTTCAAGTTGAGGAATAAACCTTAAATAATCTTGACTTCTGCCTGTTGCCAAATTTACACGAAGTTTTTGAGGAATACAATTTAAACTTTCAATAAAAATCCTTTTCATTTTTACTGCAAAAAGTAAATATGATCTTTCTAAATTTCTCGAAATAAAACTAATTTTTGAATTTTTACAAATCTGTTTTTCTTCTGAAATGTTGCTTCTTTTTTCTATAATCAAATATATCATATAATGTTTGTAATCAAATGCGTGTTTGAGAAATGTAAGTAGCAATAAAAATAATTCTTTTGAATCAAAATTTGATTTTCGTTTACTGAAAGTATATTTAAATCAATTCGTTGTTTAACATATTTTCTGTTTACAGCGTCCCATCTTCCATTGTATAGTATTATATCGAAAATATCGTCAAATTCATCATTTGTGAATCCTGTTAAATCAACAATTGTTGATGATGTACGTTTTAAAAACACTTTTATTGGATAATTTAAACGTTTTTCATTGGAAGTGGGTTTTGTTGGGTATGTGGATTCTATTGTTATTTCTGCGTTATAATCAATTTCATTTTCACTTCGACGACGCTGTCTTGTGATATTCTTCAAATTCTTCCTAGTTGACAATTAATGATCTTTGCAATGCAATTAAAGTGTTGTTACGTGATGGTTGTTTCTAAGTTTCGACCATGGTCAAAAGTGGTTGAGGATGTTCAGTTGTTTGGTATGTTGTTTGTGTAGCTTCATTGTATTGTGAATTGTGTATCGAATTATCAGGGTTAATGTTATGAATGTTTTGAATATTCTGGTGTTGAAATGTTTGTTGTATGTGAAGGGTCTGTGGAATTAAATTGACACTCTGTTGACTTTGTGCAATATGTGTTGATTGGCTGTTATTTAGAGAGTTAGTTAAAGACCGTTGTGTCAACTGATTAACTTCACTTTGTGTTGTTTGTAATATCAGTTGATTTGTAGTAATTTGTTGTATAGATACTTCCTCCATATATTGAGTTGATTTGACCTTTCTTTTTATTTTCTTTTTGTTATTTCTTGTTCCTTTCTTTATCGTTCGTTTGAGTGGTGGGTGATTCGTGTGTATATTAGATTCTTGATTGACACGAGAAGAAAACGTGTGTAGAAAACGTAGAGGTGTGGTGCTCATGTAATTGTAAGATTATTTTTGAGTTTCATTTTAATCTCAAGTTTGTTTTTTGTGGCAAAATGAATTTTTACTTATTTACTTTTTGCCTTTTGTTTCTTTTTCTCACAAAATCACCATTATTATTCATCAATTTTTATTTTATTTTTTATTTTTTTTATAGTTATTTTAAATAATTATTTAATGTTTTTAAAATAGTTTTAATATTAATTAATTTATCTTTTTTATAAGTAAATTTTATTGTATTTAAATTATAAATATAGGTCAGCGACTTTTGAAATGACTAAAAAGTCGGAGACTTTTTAGGAAACTCAAAAGTCGCCGAACAGCTATGATTAAAGTGACTTCCCAAGGTGTGCAAGTTAAGGTATAGTTCATTTATAATTTTTTTATTAAAAAAATAGAATTATTAATTTTTTGAAATTTTGAAAAAAAAGATTATTTTTAGTTTAATTATTAATTATAATTTTGAAGTTATTACTAAACTATACTTTAACTTGCACACCTTGTGACGTTGCAATTTTTAACTTCCACACTTCGAATACAATTAATTAAGCAACAATTTCGGGAAAGCGACCCAATGGAAATTATCGAAGGACCAGTTCTGGACAACAGTACACATCGATTTGAGACAATGAACTGCACCTTTTAAACAGACTATTTGTTATTGTTTGCTATAAAACGGCACAGAGAAAAATATAATGTTTATCACATTTCTTTTTGTCGCTTTAAATCACGATGACACAAGAGACATCGACATTTATTCACGTTCTTGAAACAAAACAGTTTTTACATTAAACACATAAACAAACCATTACCCAATTTTTATAATTTGATTTGCTTTTTGTAGTTTATTAATTCAAGCACCAAAGGGTTGTGTGTTTTTTGAAACAATTTGGAAACGAATAACATTTTTTAAATAAAATGTTTTTGAACTGAAATTTAGTCTTGCACGCCCTTTCCCTGTAAAAAAGACTAAAAATTTTAACTTGCACACCTTGGGGAAGTCACTTTATATAAATATTTTTTTTTATTAAATGTTATTGAAAATAAAAGTTATTAAAAAAAATAACTACACATAAATTGTTAATTTCTTTAAAAATCCTTTAACAAAATTGATTGAAGTGTCTCTAAATACTTTATTTTGCTTTTTAATATCATTATTTTCATCATTATTATAATAACTATTAATTAATTACTTTTTACTATAATAGAACCTAATCAATTTTAAGTATCTTTGAATTCAAATTCATTTATTTTATCAATAACCACTTCATCGAAAATGCCACAATATAATTAAACATCACATCTTTGTGTTAGAATTTATAAACAATCGAATATACTTTTAAATAGCACCAGAATTAGTTACAGGTATTTTACTGAAGTCCACATTCCGCATTCGAAAACACAGATAATAGGACTTAATGGTATAACAAGTTCATTTAAAACTTAAAAATTGATATATTAATGAACCTTTCAAAACAACAAGAGCTCTTTTGTGTCTTAATAGACAAGTACATTAACACAGAGATCAACACACCTAACGCCGTTTTTTCGTTACAACTCTTTCGCGATTTTCCACTGACTACATCTCCTCAATTTGCTCGAATATTTCACGTTGCATGTAAGACTAACAACACACCAGTACTTAATTATTTCGCAGCAACTTATCCAGACTACTTGGACTTCCCAAACGTTCGTGGAGAGACTCCACTCTTCGTAGCAATTGCCGCTAACCAACTTGAAGTCGTCGACTTCCTTTTAAACAAGAATTGCAAAGCAGACCATGTCCTTCCAACAGGAGACAACATTTTGCACTACATCGCGCAGCTTCCTGCGTCCCCGACAAAGCTTTCCCTCATCGATAAAATCGCGACGAAATACCCGACCCTCGTGAAATCGCCGAACCTCGTTTTAGAGACTCCACTTCATCTTTCCGCACTTCTTGGGGACTTGGATGCCGTCAAGAAGTTTATTTCACTTGGTGCCGATTCAAATGATAAAACGACTCGCGGCGTCGACGCGCTTGGATACGCACAATTTTCTGGCAATCGTGAGACTATAGTTTATTTAAAGAACTTTTGTAAGAAAGATGAGCCGGCTCTTGCTATCAAAGTGACTTCTGTTGAGCCCCAAGGGACTCAACAGTCATTCAGTGGCAAAAATTCGGTGAACGACGACTCTTCTGATGACGAAGGAAACTCGACGCCAAGTTTAATTCTTAATTCCAACGAAACGACTGTCGACGAGTTGTATACAAAGTTTGCCAACTACGTTCCTCCAAAGACTTCTAAAGTGAAGAATTTATTTAAAAAAGTCCATGTCTCAAAGAAACTCTTTCAGAGTGAAATGGGGCGACTTATTAAAGAAAGTTTTATCTCTCGCTCGATGTTAGAGATCCCCAACGACTTTGGGAAAGGGAAGAAATACAGAGTTTTGTCTTTAGACGGTGGAGGAATTAAAGTCTTGATGAGTGTTATAATCCTCAGAAGACTCTGTGTGGAGTTTCCAGACTTATTAACAAAGTGCAATTTATTCTGTGGTGTCTCAGCGTCAAGTGCTGTTGTGTCGTTAATCAGTATGGGATATAGTATGGAAGGGCTATTAGCCGTATGTGAGAACATCATTAGATATTCATTCAAGAAAGATAGTATCCAGTCCGTCACTAATGCAAAGTACATCAACGACTACCTTCAAATCTTTGGGCAGACTGCCTTTGGAGACCTCCCACTCAAAAACCTGCCACGTCATGTTTTAATACCGGCGTTCTTAATAGATAATGGGGTTGAACCCAGATATTGTCGATCAGAGACCTTCACAAATATTAAGCCCGGAAACGACACTGAGAAGGTTGCGGACATTTGCTTGAGAAGTGCGGCTGCACCGTCCTATTATAAGCCATATCAGAATTATGTTGATGGGGGGATTATAGACAATATCCCTTGTGGTCTTGCATGGCCATACCTCACTGGAGAAAAAGGCATTGGGATTGACCCAAAGGATATTGTCTGTCTTTCAATATCGGCGGGAAGACCCACGCCAGCACATTTAGATGCGGAAAAGATCGGGGGCGGTGGGATGGTCCAATGGGCGACTCAACTTGTTTGTTTCTCATTCATGTATGTATGTCGCAGTAGTAACAATACAGGTGGATCTGTTCATGCTTGCTCGAAGAGATGAAACTGTCAAAGAAGCAAAGATGATGTTTGGTGAGAGGTTCCATCGAGTTGATCCGGTTCTCCCAGGTCAAATCATGTTAGACAATGTCGACCAAATTGATGAAGTCAAACGAATAGCTGAGACGTGTGACTTGGAGGATATGAGACGGTGGATACGGAAGTATTGGTATTGAATTTGAGTCATTCAAGTTATAAAAATCTAATAAATAGTAGCAATGAAATGTTACATTACTTTAAAATAAAGTCTTAAAGCTTCTGTGAGAGTTTTGTTTCTGATGAAGTCTTTGGTTGACTGTTTTGAGTCTCCTCTTGTTTTGCTGCTACATCGGGGAGGTCGTCTACTTGCCCTGATACATAAAACGCGATTTCTGCATTCACATTTCTATCTTGTGACAGAAAAGAGCACTCGATATACATTAATTTGTTTTGGTTGATCAGAAGAGTCACCTGCTTTGAGCGCTTCACTGCCTTTTTAATGTTTTTGAAGAATGACAGTCGGTACCTATACATTAGTATACATTACCATTTCAGAACTATACAATTCATACAACACAATATCGCGAGATTCTTGTTGTAAATAGAATAAATATGAAACAAACCGAGCAGAAATGTTTTGGGAACACTCGAAGTGCTCAAATGAAGTGTTTTTATAAATAGTTTCAATGGAGTCTGTTGGAGAACCCGAGTTAATATTCAACTCTCCCAATCTTGATGCTTCGAAGTTAATGAAAATGTGGTTTTTAGGTAATGAAGAGAATATAGGGAGTAATACCAGTGACTGACAAGTGAGATACAATGTCGTTGGATAATTATTAAAGTCGAATACATGTGTAGGAAGTTGTAAATCTGCGATGTTCTGAATTTTGATTCTGGCTGTTACAATGGGGTCGCTGAGTTGTAACAACAATTCGTTATTCACTGAAATGCATAACGTGAGGGTTGTGTTTTGTTCGTAGTTCATTGTCTCAAAGAATGTTAAAAACTCTTTCATAGGGAAGTGGATGTGGAGATCGGTATCGTTCGCCATATCCGCAAATGTTGTGAATAAGTCCTTCTGCCAGAAAATGATCGTTTGAAACACACCACGTTCTTCTGTAAATATTTTAATGCCTTTGTTGTCGACCCACATCGTGGCGTATGGGGTGTTAGTGTTCTTATTAAAAAGGATATGGAGGGTCGATAGAAGTATTCTCACTTGATTTGAAGTGTACATCAAATTACAATCTCGGTTCGTTAACTCTTCAACTTGGCCTTGTGTAGAACAAGGTGTTGTCAATATTTTGCTCTGAGCTTCACTTAGGATACTTGAAGGTTGTGACATTATTTGACTTTCTTCAACATCTAAGTTCTCTCTTTTCTTGACAAATTCATATTTAATTTATTTTATTAATACTAATTGAATTTGTTTTATATAATTAAATGGTTCTTTTTATAATTTCAAAATTATAAAAAAAACTACAAATCGAAACTATTTTCATTAATTTAAATTAACTATTTTACAATACAATTGTTTTAATAAAAAAATAGTATATTTTTTAATACATATATAATATAATAAATATCATTAATATTAAATATTATAATACATGATCAACAAACTAAAATACAATAATATATAAACTATTTTTTTAATACACTTGGACTTACATTATTTTGAAAAAAAAGAAGTTACAATTTGTTGAACTTTTAACAATTGTACTGAAGCAATTGAAAACCGATTTTTTGAACTGACTTTTCCAACTCCAAAAAGCAATGATGTCAAACACCCCAAGTTTCAATGGAAAAGCACTTTCCACAGGCGTTTCTTGTCGCTCAGACATCATTTCTGGAATTCAAAAAGTGGCTGATGCTGTTAGTGTCACATTAGGTCCTAAAGGCCGTACAGTCATATTAGACCAACCGTACGGCCCCGCACGCATTACTAAAGACGGAGTTTCTGTTGCTAAAGCCATCGAGTTTTCCGACAAAACCTTAAACGCTGGTGCAAAAATAGCGAAGGGTGTTGCGAGTAAAATCAACGACAATTCAGGTGATGGTACGACGACAGCGACTTGCCTGTTAAGGAAAGTTGTCATGGAGGGGGTTCAAGCAGTTAACACTGGGTTACCGACTCCGGACTTACTCAGTGGAATTAACACTGCCAAAAAAGTTGTTATCGATGAGATCGTGAAACAGAGCAAGCCGATCACAAAGAGTGAAGTTGTCTCTGTTGCGAGAGTGTCAGCGAACAACGACGAGAAGATTGGATCGATGATTGGTGACATATTTAGTAAAATTGGGAAGGATGGAGCTGTTGATATAGAGACTGGAAAGGCAGTGAAAGACAGAATAAGTGTTGTTGAAGGGATGGTGTTAGACCAAGGGTACTTGTCGCGATACTTCACTACCGATGACAAAAACACTAAGGTAGACATTCACAATGGCGACGTGATTGTCTGCGACGCCAAATTGGAGACATCGCAACAAGTCGTCCCATTGCTTCAAATGTGCGTGAAGCGTAAAAGACCGTTAATCATCATTGCAGATACCATAGACGGCGATGCTTTGACAACTTTGGTTCTGAATAAGTTAAGAGGACTTCCTGTTGCTGCTGTGAGAGCGCCAGGCTTTGGGGAGACTCGGAAAGGCATATTACAAGACATTGGAATCATCACTGGAGCCACTGTCATCTCCAATGACACTGGAAATAACACCGAAAAGATCACAGAAAGTCAGTTGGGTAAATGTGGCCACTTTGTATCAAATCAAGACGAAAGTGTGATCACTGGAGGTGCTGGGAAGAAGTCCGATGTCTTACAGCGTGTCGATGAACTCCGAGAAGCACTTCGAAAAAGTGAAAGTTTATATGAGAAAGAGAAGCTTCAAGGAAGAATTGCGCGCCTCACGGGTGGAGTAGCAGTGATTAGTGTTGGAGGTTCTTCGGAGGCTGAAGTTGGAGAGAGGAAAGATCGAATCGAAGATGCCGTCTGTGCGGTGAAAGCTGCTCTTTCGGAAGGGATTGTTCCTGGTGGTGGAGTTGCTTTGATTAAAGCCGGGAGTCAACTTGACAAACTCCGCACGAAGAATTGGGCTGAGAAAGTTGGTGTAGAGATCATCAAAAAGTGTACCGAAGAACCCGCTCGCATTATAGCGAGAAATGCTGGCATGGATGGAGGTGTTGTTGTACAAAAAATCCGCGAGGGTAAAAAAGGGTTTGGGTTTGATATGAGAAGTGGCAACTTTGTTGATATGATGCAGATGGGTATTGTTGATCCGACAAAAGTGGTTCGGTCTGCGTTTGATGAAGCTGTTTCTGTTGGTGCTTTAGTTGCGACGTCCGATGTTTTAGTGACTGACGAAAAAGGCGAAGTTAAAAAAGATTGAGGAATTTTGAGTTATTAATTCTGGTTTTTTCTATTGAATTTTTCTATAACAAGAACTCCAATAAATATAACTTCCTTGATGAGTACCATTGGGTGTATGATAGATGTTGATGGAGTACTTGTTCGTGATGGGAAAGAGATAGAAGGAGCTTCGGAGGGTTTGTTCTTCTCATCCATTTATTATTTACTATTTGTTTACTATTACATCAATTTCATAATATAATAACATAACAGGCATTAAAATGTTGGAAAGGGCACAAGTGCCATTTGTTCTTGTGACGAATGGACATGGGAATAGTGAGTATAAATCGTCATTGGTGAGTAAAGCCCTAAGGGTTACTATTAGCCCTGAACAAACACTTTTGGCAGTCACCCCATTGATAGACTTACTTGATAAGTACCAAGATAAAGGTGTTATGGTTGTTGGCAAAAAACCCGATTACGACACAATCGCGAATTTTGGGTATCAGAAAATTGCGTTTTATGAAGACTTTGCGACGACATGTCCGTCTGAGTTTCCGGACTATAACGCGAAAACAAGTGCCAGAAGTGTTGTGGGGTCTCTGAGTGTTGAAACCCCAATAGAAGCAATTTTTGTGATGCACACGCCATTGAACTGGGGAGAAGCAATTCAAATTATTTGTGACATTCTGCGTTCTAAAAGTCGGACGTTTGCCGCGCTGCAAAAGAACGAAACGACAAATGAACAACAAATTCCTATTTTTGTGTGTAATCCGGATTTCGACTACGCCGGACAATTTCCGTTGCCAAGACTCACGGTCGGAGCGTTTTGTAAATGTCTCCAGGCCATTTGGTGCCAAATGAGTGGTAAAGAGCTCGAAGTGACTTATTATGGGAAACCATACAAAACAATTTACGAAAAGGCTGAACATTTGTTGCACGAAAAGAACTCCAAAATTACGCGATTTTATGGAATAGGAGATAACCCAGTTTCGGATATTCGTGGGGCAAATAACATGAAAAAGGAGTCGAAGTTTGAGTATAAATCTGTTTTGGTCGAGTCTGGATGTTCTTCTAAAAAGGCCCTTGCAATGGATATTCCAGATGTTACAACCACTTCATTTTTGGAGGCCGTTCGGACTATACTCGAAGAAAATGGCATTACGACTATATTTTGATTGAATAGACAACATTTTATATGCGTTATGTTTAAATTAACACAATGAAATTTGAAATGGATTTGTTAGAACACAATTTAACATAAGGTAAGATGAATAATTTTATTATTATAAACAATTTGAAGAGTAAGAGTTATACTTCATAAAATATTATATAGCACTTTGTGTTTGCTCGAGAAAAACTAAGATAAATTTGAGTGTTAATAATATAGTAGAACAAAACCAAACATGCGTTTATTAGTTAGAGACTTTGTTGAGATGTTTCTTATTGGGCATAAAGCATGTCATAGTGGTTATTTTAAGAATGATCAAACTTATTTCCAAATTTAATAGAGTCATTTTCTAAACGTTGTCCCTTTTGCAAAAAAAAATACGCAAAATATTCTTTAAAAAATTGGGAATTAGGTAATAAATCATAAAAACGGTAAAAAAACTGAAACAATGATTTTCTGGAGTTTCGAAAAATTTCCCGATATATTACAATTATTAATATCTAAAAACCGAGGGACAACGTTAAGGAAAGGACAAAGTTTAGAGAATGACATAATGGTTTTAGAAACACATTTTTTTGTTATTGATGGATTTTTTATTTTTAAAATTTCAAAGTGCTCAATTAACGTTAAATTTAACTCCAAAACTTACAATAATCACATTTAAATAATTTTAAAATTTGGACTTAAAACTGGGTATAAAAACATGTTTTGTTGCTTTCCCAAAAAGTCCGTTATTTGAGATAATTACTGAAAATAATTAGTATAAATGTAATTGTTATGTATTTTTGAGACTTAAAGAAAATAAATACTAGGAAAATGTGCGCCTTTATTCACAATAAAGTCGGTGATCAACTGAGTTTTATTTTTTAACCATAATTAAAAAGGTATGCTTTGATGGTCGTGAAAAATAAATAAAAAACAAAAAAAGAGTTTTTGTGTTGAATATTATGTGTTTTTTGTGTCTTTAAGAGTGTTTTAAAGAGTGATTGGTGTTTTGTTGAGTGTAGTTCTGGGAATGTAAACTTGCTGAGAGCGGATGCATTTCTTCATTCACAGAACAATTTATTGAATTGTTTGCGAAAAGATTTTCAGCCTTTTCATTTGCTCTAAAATACAAACCATTTTTTGGTGAAGTCCATTTGATGAGAAGCGTATCTCCCGATGTAATGCACAAATAAAAAACGTCCGACAATCATTTTTTAAATTCCACATTGTTAAATTATTTTAATTTTAACCAGAAATTTAGAATTTGTCTTTTTTCTTTTCATTCGTTTTTGTCTTGAGGCTTTCAAATATAATCTTTGATTCATTGTTTTTTAAATATAAATACAGAGATATGCCATTTGTATGTTCATAAAAATATTATACAGTCATTATTCGATATAAGGGTTATTTGATATAAGGATTTATTCGATATAAGAGAGAAAAATAAGAGGAAGCCCTTATATCGAATAATAGAAAAAAAAAATAAAAAAAAGATATTTATGTGTTTGCTTTTTGTTGGTTATTTCATTATAAAAACTTAAAATGGTAATAATTGGATTAATTTGTCACTAAGTTAAAAAGTCAAATAAAATAATATAAAAACCATGTTTTATTATATTTTTAATTAAACATTTTTATTAAAATAAACAAAATAATAAATTTATAATAAAAATAGATAAACAAGTAAATTTTATTTAGAAATAATACAATGAATGTATTTGCATTCTTTCAAAAAGAATACTTTCCTTGACAACTACGATTCATTCCGTTCATTAACATTTACAGGAATGTCTTCATTTTCAGGTTCAATATTATGTAATCTTTTTTGTAATTCAAAAATTGTTTTATCTATTTGCTCTTTTTGGACAATAAGCGTCTCAATATTTTCTTTGATATCTTCAACTTCTTTTTCGTTTATTTTTAACAAAGTATTCGTGTCGTTGTTATACTCTTCATTCGTCATTGAAGCGGGTATATTTTCTCCTTCAAATTCCCAGTCATAATGAGGATCAATAATTTCGTCATAGTCTTCAAAGCAATTGCGAAACCCAGCGTGTTCCCAACAATTGGTTATTGTCATCTTAGTCACTTTATCCCAAGCATTTACACAAATCTCAATTGCGTTACCAACTGTGAAAGTAGGCAACATTCTCTTGAGGTTTACCGAACTTAATACAACATCCATAAAAAGGCGATGGTAATGCCTCTTAAAAGACATAATTATACCGGCATCATCTGGTTGATATTTGGATGTTGAATTTTCAGGAAGGAAAGTGAGAACTATATGCCTCAAACCAGTGAGTTCATATACGAAACAATTCTTTTGATCCTTGCCTTTAAACTCGTATCTCTCGTCAAGATCAAAAAGTTCGTTATTTGTTTTCAACGTCAAAGTGTGGCTGGGACAATTGTCAACTATTAAAAGAATAGTTCTATTTGGAGTTAAGCGATCAATTTCGTCATCCCAGGATTTCAACCAATAATGAAAGATATAAGTGGTCATCCATGATTTTTTCTGGTTGATGTATATTGTTTTAAAGATAGTAAGGTGAGGGTCTTTAAACCATCTTGGGTTTTTTGTTGGTCCGATAACCAAAAGAGGTCTTTTCTCTCCCACGAGAGAAGTACAAATCATTAAAGAAATACGAGCTTTTGACACTTTATAACCACTCTTCTGTGAATCATCAAGTGCCTTTCGGGCAAAGCCATATAATACAAACCAGTTTCATCGGCGTTGTATACATCTTCTTTGGGGAACTCATTAACAACCTTTAACAGTTCTTCGAAAAGAGGACGAACCTTTACCAAATCTACAGAAGCCGCTTCTCCATGAGTTTTGTACATTTTAAAATTGTTTCTCTTGCAAAAATTTTGGGCCCATCCAATAGAAGCACCTTGGTGAATAGTATCTGAGTGTTCTTGAATAAAACATCTGGCTTGGGAAACCAACATAAAATAATCAATTGGTATTCCCGCTTCACGAACTTCATGAAACCAATTGATCATTGCTTCCTCAAGTTCCGGGTTCTGTGGTTTTCTTATTCGTTTATACGAGGATGGAAAGTTTATCAATGTTTCTTTAGAAATTGAACGCAAATGATAAACTTGCTTTGGAGAAATTACTATTTTTAGTTGTTGTCTTACAACTTCGATTACTTTCTGTGTATTTTGATAAAGATCAATTAATTCAATAATTTTTATTTTGTCTTGTAACATCAATGATGTTCTCGTTTTAACACGTTTGGATTGCATTAAAACTTAATGATTTAACAGATTTATTTGAAGTTTTAAGTCGAAACAAAGTTAGATACAAAAGTTTTATTTATTATGTTAATTGTGTTAATATATTTGTCTTTGTTTTTTTGATATATTATAAAATTTATTATTCATTTAAGATAAAAATAATTGCCAATTGTTTTCAAGACATAGGCAAAGTGTTTATTTTGGTTAGAAAAAAATTAAAAATAAAAAAAAATATTTTTGTGACAAAAAACAAACCGAGGTATTTATTTGTTAATTATACAATTCCTCATTTTTTCCCTTATATCGAATAACATTGGTACATGGTATTCCCTTATATCGAATAATGACTGTAATAATTAATAGAAAAATAACGATCATGCTTGTTATTGTGCATATTAACTCGTGTTTTGAATTGAAAAATCATAAATTTCAACACAACCGTTAATGTTTCAACAATCAGTGTTAATAATTATCAATTTATTTTAGTCGTTTCAATTTTATTTTATATTTTTCGTAACTATTTTTATTTTGATCATAATTTGCGACCATTCAGTTCTATTGTTGAAATGTCGAAGAATCAAACAAACTTTATATGACAGCATATTTAAAACATTGGTATAAATTGAATTATAATAGTTCTATTATAAATTTAGTAATAGAATAATATATAGTTTTAGAATAAATGTGGTATTCAATAGGTTGGAAATGCATTTAAAAAGGTAAAAACGAAGCAAAGTTTTCAAATCCACTTTTACACAGCTATTATCTAAAGTATTGGTAGGAGCAAACATCGCAAAATATTGCAAATAAGTATAAAGTTAAAGTATAATATCAAAAGTCCCGTTTTTATGGAAATTTTAATTGTAATATAAACATGTCAATGGTGAATTGGAAATAATTATATTTTTTGTATATCCAGTAATAAGTTAATAGTATTAAGCTGTTAATTAATGGCTAGAATAACCATAAATTGTGTTATGATAATAGCTTCACAAATAACCATAATAATTACTATTATGAATTACTTAATTTAATTTTTTTATAATTTTTTTTAATTATTTGAAATTAAATAAACTATTGTTGATATAATATAAAAGTAAAAATAATTAGAGAAAGTCCATTTCTTCAAAACAAAAAAAATATTGTGCTATTTTTATTTTTAAAGTTAAATCAAAGAATTGCTTTTTAGCTTTTAAAACCAGTATAGTTAACTAATTAAATCCTTCTCTTCAGAGTTTGAATAAAGCAATACAATTTTATTATTTTTATTATTTATTATTATTATATATTTCATATGAATAACGTAACCACTTTTATTTTAATCTTTGGAAGTGTTTCTCTTTTATTTACTTTCTATTGCGAATATTGGTCTTATTTTTCAGCGTAAAACGGCAAAATGTAAAGTGCAATACTACTTTTAATAATTTTTGCACCACATAAATAATACAATTTGGAAAAACCATTTCTTTGAAAAATCTTCCCATCTTAATAACTGTGTAAAATAGTTACTTTTGCTAAATCATTTGAATTTAAAAGTAAAATTCGTCTTGTTTTATTAGGCTTTCTAAGCAAACAAAAATATAAATGAACATGTCCAGTCAATCAAATGTTATTTATTTAAAAAACACAGACTGTAAGAAAAAAATAAACCAACCAACTCAATAATCTTTGTATTTCTATTAGTAGAATTTTATTTAGATATTAATATTTTAATAAAAGAAAGTAATTATCATGGCGTGGATACACAATAACACAAATGCGGTATAATAAAATTATTATTATTAATAATGAGCGATATTTATTTATATCGTGCGTTTGAAAAAGACCAAAAATGGCTCGACGTTATAAAAACGCCTTAAATAGTTGTTAAAGTTAATTTGTCCTAAACCAAATGGTCAACTTCAATTATTGCCTTCCGTATCACCGATAATAAGACACTGAGAAGAAAGAAAAAGAAAAAACAACTTATTTGAAACCAAAATAACCATTATTATGTTTTTTGCCAGAAGAATGCTTCACATATTAATGTACTAATTAAAAGTGTCAAATTATAATATATTTTTTAAACAAACAATCCAACTAATATACACTCGACAATATTGCTACAACGTTAATCATTTTCTCATTTAAAGTAAGGTTGCCGAGGAGACAAAAATCTTTTGGTGAATTAATTCAAAAGGAGAAAGAAGAAATGAAACGCTAAAGTGGACTTTTTGTAGGGAATGATGAAGTCAACCAAAACAAGGAAAAGTTTTTACGATGCCGATGGCGAGACAATAAAAACATATTCTAAACAAATTATAAAAACGTAGTTTCTTGTTGAAAACAATTTGCAACCGTAGTTGAATGAGAACTTTTGAAAGTCCGATTTGTCAGGTTTGATATTTTGAGAAAACGTAATACCCCTTTGTAATTGTAATTTTTCAGACTTAACGAAGTTTCATATCCAAAAACCATGATTGGAAAGTTGGTTAAGCACTATTTAACATGAAAATAACTCAAAAAGACATTCAGTGATGGCCGACTCCACAAGAAACTCACCAATGAACAACAGCGAATGGTCCGTATCATTAAGCCCAACACCTCTTCTTAAGACAAAAAGTTGTGACAAACTGAAATTCAAGGATAAACAAATGGTCTCTATGAATACACAAGCGGATGTCCAAGCTATATTTATTGCCCTTCTTTCGCAACACTGCACGTTATCTCTGGGAAGACCACATAGACAATCGTACAAAACTAAACAATTTATGAAGATCAAAGACATACAATTCAACAGATTTGACACGATAAATGTTCTGCAAATCATCCAAGTCCGGTCAAAGGAACAAGAACACCTCATCTCAGAAAAGGAAAACACAACACAAAAAACAGCTAAAAGAAGAACTCAGCTAATGAAGAGGAGAGAGTGTGTAAGACTCTTGCAAGATTTGTTGGTCGAGTTTGGGTTCATTGTTTGCTTTGAAAAAGAAACGGTCGACGGATTTGAAGGACAAATTGATATATACCAAAACGGCATCAAAATTCTTGACACAAAACAAATAAGAGAGTCGGGAAATGCTATCAATAAACACTTGGCAAATCTTTTGGCTTCTTCCAAGTCTGTGATAGTTAATAAGGACACTTTTGCCTTCGATAACCTTATCGTCTAAATTGTATAACTCATTCTTTAACATATTTTATTTCATTTTCGGCAATCATTCAACATTTCGTTGTTTTTAAATTTAAAATGATTGGGGGTTTAGATTAAAAATATTTTTTATATTAAATATAAGTGAAGAGAATTTTAAATTGTTTTAAACAATTTTAAAAACTTTTCTTTAAACACCATTTTACTTTAGAATATATTTAATGAACACAATTGATTGTGTTTAAACATTTTTCAATTATATAACACAGTAATAATCGTTTGTTTCAATTATTCAAATGAAGATTTGAAAGTATGGATCAAATTATAAATAATATTGATTGATTCTAATAATTACACGTTTTTGAGTAACGTGTTGTTTTTTCTTACCCAAAAGGGTGTCTTTTACATAAAAACAACTAAAATAATACTACGTAAAAACAAACAAGGTCATTTCAACATCAAATTAATGTTAAAGATAACGTGAATAACGAGTCATAAATTATTGCAAAAAACGAATTATTATTCGGTATCATTTGAGTTTTTTATTAAAACAAATTCTTTTATATTCAGTAACAATGTATCATTTATATTACAAGTAAATTGTCTAATATTTTATTCGTAACTTGCATTAAAAGGTGTAAATTTTTGGTATAAATTGTAAAAGTTGATATTTAAAGACCGTATTTGATATTAATTTACCTTTTTACAAAACAATTAATAATAAACGCCAATTAAATAATTCTCAAGTTGTTATCTCTATATTTTTCAAATGTATATAAAAACCATTTCCTTGTTGTTCAAGCAAGTCTGAAAATTGATCTATTTCTTAGCTGTTACCAGTATTTTTATCAACATGAATTCGTTTATTAAACTTAATTTATAAAACTTAATAATTTTATTATTAAAAATTATTAAAAAAAGATATAAAATTAAAAAAGACATAGTTGACCATTAAGCTTTTGTAACTACAATTAATAATGAATTTTATATAAAGTGTTATGATCATTATAATTTGACTAAAAATTAATAACGTTAGTAATTAATAAGTTTCTTTAAAAATGGGAACTGAAAATAAAGTAGTAACTTAACATAATAAAAATTTAACATAACACTTTAAGTTTTTATAAAAAAAATACACCTATAATTCCACGTTTTAAATATGACTTAATTGTTGCTTTATTTATTTTTTTTAAAATTATCTTACCATAAATGAACATTTTAAAACAAATAAAAAGATTCTTGGTATCAAGTTTATAGAAAAATAATGGCCTTTATTACTAAATTGTGTTTATAAAGACAATTAGATAAACAATTGGTTCTCAAAATATAATATGATAATGTTGCATGTTGTTAATGAGAATCAATAAACACAGATTCATCAATGTTGTTGCTGCAAAAGTCCATGTTAGTTTTGCTTTTTCATTATATTTTACAAGCCACTTAGAATATATTTCTTCTTTTTTAGTTCCTTTTTCTCATTTAAAATAATAAATAAATAAAACTTCAATTATTTTGAATAGTTAAGTCATTGTATCATAGCCAGATCAGTCGTTTTGCATCAGTTTCACTTCATTGTGGTTCTTTTGTGTCTTAAATTGGTTTGTTGGTGTCTGTGAAGACAATAATTGATGGTGTTGTTCTGTTGTTATTATTTGAAACAACTATAAGTCAGTACTTTTACAAGATATTAATAGTAGTACACTTCTTAGAAATAAATTGTTGTTACTTGTTAAAATTATACAATAAACACCTCCAATTCACACTTTTTTATTTTCACCTCCTTGTTTCATTTAATCAAGCGGACACTTAACACTTATAATAACACCCTTATTTTTGTTTATTAATTGTCTTTTTTTTTATTATTAAAAACTATAATTTTTATTTATTTTTATTTGTCAATAGCAATTTCATTGTTTTTAATATTTTTGTATATTTTGTCAACCCTAATTGAATATAAAAATATATTACTTTTTTAAAAATAATTCAAATTACTATTATAAAACCATATTAAAAACATCAATAGATGTTATGGTATAGTCAGACAGACAGAGAATATAATAATAACAAAATAATAATTTTGTTATAAAATATAGTTTAAATCAATTCATAAATTTATCGTACATCAAATGATTTTACTTAACATTTTAATTATAAATGAGTTTTAAAGCAATTGTTGTGTATTATTTTAAATAATAAAAAACACCATTTTTTCAATACACTATATTTTTTCGAAAATGAACTAAAAATGAGCACTAATTTATTAATTCTATGTCAGTAAAGAAAATTGGCGAAATTCATGTCCAAGATGAATACATTGCTGAGGAAGAAAACCTTCAACAGCCAACACCCAAAATAGATCCAACATATTCTTCTCGTATTTCAGACCCTGACGCACCTGTTTCCAAATCGTTTCAAACCGAAGATGAGGCACAAAAAGCTATACCCCCCACTTGCAACGGAAAAGATGACACACAAAATTTGAACAGTCAAGAAGCCGACATAAACAAATTGAATAACAAAGAAGAGCCGAAAAATAGAGACAATCCCCAACCTACAGCCACTGATGTATATAACATTATTAAACAATTTATGAAAAACAATGGTCAACTCTTTTTATTGGGGATAAGTAGTTATAGAAAGATCCGTGCAGTTCTGACTCGTTTTTATCGGAATTCCGAGAAGTTTAAAATGGACTATTACGAGATTCTCAAAATCAACGTATTTTATATGTTTGGGTACACCTTGTTGTGTTACTTCTTAGGATTTATACCTCAATACTATCCACAATATTTCAGTCCAAAGTTCCTTACATTTTGCTCAGTCGTCGAATTTATCACAGCAAACACACTTCTGATGTATGCACTGTACATCTCCGAGAAGTATTATTATAACATCGCAGTCAATTATGACAGTGTCAAAAATAAAGGACAGTCAATAGCTTCACATTCGTATTTGTACAGCTTTTATTTCTCAATTTTGACTTCGATGTTACTTGGCGCAACGGCACTACTTCGAGTGTTGCACTTCTCAATGACAAGTCTTTTTTTGTTGTCTATTTTGTACGCTTTTTACGCTTTTAATTTGAAATTCAGACTTCATACAAATTGGAATTTGGCTCAGATGGTATCTTTATTCGACTCAAGGCTGATGTTCTTCTTTGGATTTGCTTTGCCATTCACTTCATTGTCTTTCTTCTGCTCCACCTTAGTCTCAAATGCTCTTTATGCGCTGTTGTTCCCTGTCGTTTGTTATTACATTTTAAGAGTTATAATATAATTATAATATAATTATAACATTTTAGCTTGTTGGACTTGCTATAGAAGAACACCCAGAGTATCAAGAAAAAACCGCAAGAATACCTGTTTTAACACAATTCTTGAATCTCCTCAATATAGTCAACAATTTTGCGATTAACTTGGCAACGGTGTTTATTATTGGTGATAAGAAAAAGAAGTAATTCTCTTGTAATAACACTGTCAACCCATTTCTTTTTACGTTCATTCTTTACTATTTTGTATTATTATTATAAGTATATTTACTTAGAGATTCGTTATAGAATATAACAATATAGACAATAAAATGACACAACATTGAATTAGACTCTAATTTAGAGGAGTATTGAAAATACGGAAAAAAGAATCAGCGACAATGGGAACCCCACAATGAAATTGAATGAAGTCCACACAGCTATTTGAAACGAGAAGTCAAACAATATTGGAGAAAACGAGCACCCAAAGAGAAGAAGTGCTTTCCTCAAAATAACAGAAATAAACACACCCACTAACCCTACTATTTGCGATAAGAGGGAAGTGATAACAGGATAAAAGAATACGTTTGCAGCAACATACACACAAAGTATAGAGTACACAAAACAAAATGCAAAGGCACGCTTGAAAAGAACATACCCCTTTCGAGCAAACGAAGCGTCGTCAACTGTTATAACAACCCAATAGAAACACCACCCAATCATAAAGATGAGTTGCTGGCTGTTTTGTTTGGTAGCACTGTTGTCTGATAAGAGTCGCGATATGAAAAACGACACAAGTGGGATGAATATGGAAATCAGGTCTTGGAACACCGCCAACCCTTTCAATGACGGTTTTGGAAACACAGAGCGAACGGTCACAGAAACTGGGTCTGGCTCGACTAACTGCAGCTGTGTCAGTGTCAAACTCTCATCACAAAGCACTTGATCACCAACAGTCAAATGTTGTCTATATGGTGGAACGGAAGTTTTTTGAAATATCAGCTGACGTAAGTCTTCGAGTGTCGATGTTGGGGATACCTTAATTCTCTGTGTCTTGTTATTGTAAGCAAAACAAAGCATACTGGATCTTTCTTGTTTTTCTTTTTTAACGTTATTGGAAAGTAAGCAATTGGGGTCTTTTTTTACCACAAGAAGAAGAAAGATGATTATCGTTAATTTATTAACTAACCTTATTTATATAAGTAAAAACGTAATGACATTAAATGAATTAAAAAATTCAAAGCACTCCATTATTGTAAGTATTTATAAAGTGGAATTTACTATATTCGACCTTTTTAGCCAAATAGTCGCTTTATACAAATATCATAGATTGGATTATTATGTAAGTGTATTCGGTTTTACACACGTCTTATCTTTATATTTATTTGATGTAACTATATAATAGATTAAATAATACAAATACAATTATATCATATCAATTTATTTACAATTGATAACGGCATTTTGGGTTCGAAAAGTACACTATTTGATTCACTTTTTTTCTTTGAAATTGAATTGTGTGTTGGTTCATAATATTTTTAACCAAATCAATGCTGGATTTAAGACATTCAAAAAAAATTTATCTAAGGAACCACACCTGAAACATTATATTATTGTTGTAAAGGAGATCAAATGATAAAAAATGTTCAAGTTCACTTTCAAGAAGGAATTTGTTTATAAAAAAGAAATTAATTATCTTGGTAAAAACCATCAACCAAGTGTTTAATACATTGGTAGATGTACTGAAAGCAATGACTCATTAATTGTTAACTATGCTTATTATAGAATTGCGAATATTACAATACTTTTTATAATATTTTTAATAATAAAATAAAGAAACAATTACGTTTATCAAAGTAAATAAACTAATTATTATAAAAAAAGTACATGTGATAGTTAGAATTTTACTCTATACAAGTGTTTTTTATTTTTAATGAACGAGAAAAACGTCGTTTATAATATCAATATACAGTCTGTCTT